TATATATATATATATATATGTATGAGAATCCAAGATATTAAGTTTCATCCTTTGGGTTGAAATATAATATCTTATCTCATAATTAATTTAACGTCACTAGTATCAAAAGGTAAACCTCCAACACTAGCGTACACTCTATCAAGGATAATTTAGACATGGTACATTGAGAATATACAATGACTCAAATAAGTAGACCACTTTGGTGGAAACTATCTATTAATCATAACTCTCAATCCATGTATTAAATGATCTCACATGTATATAATATTAAGAACTTTTCGGTGACTCTAAATAAATAGACCACTTTGATGACACTATTTATTAATCACAATTTCTTAGTTATACATATTAATACATGTGATAAAATAATACCTATATAATTTAAACCTTTCTATATAGTTATTAATTCTATTCTCCGACTAAAATTATCAATAAAAGTTTTCAGCAATAACTTAAGTACTACTTTTGCAGTAAGCTAAAAGGCATAAATAAATTTGTAATTATCAAATACAATCAAGGGTTTTTGATCAACTAATGAATAAAAAAATGATAAATATAAATAAGGACACAAATCCAATAGTGACGCAGCAACCAAGGTACTCAATCAATTATGAGTAGTCACTTTACTTATTTATGTTTGCCATAGTCACTGTAACATCGAAATTTTGACTAAGAAAATAACCATATAGATTTGTGAGCCACATACGTTAATATCATAACTAATGTAATCAAGTCCATCCTTTAAAATTTAACAAAATCGTAAACGTAGGAAAACCTTTACCGATGCCGCCGCCAAAAACAAATATTAAGGTTTTACTAAAATTTATTATTATATTTTATTTGAAAAAGTCAATCACAGCTTCCAGCATATTCAACCAAAAACAGTCGCTAAATACTGATGAAACAATTTTGGCGAGAAACAGCGCCGAACTGTTGTCGTCTAAAATTTTATGATAGTTCTTTTCGTTTTAAAACTTGAAATTACATCTTGATCTTAATCTCGAAACTATGGTGGCTCTGATACCAACTGTTATATTATTAATTTACAGCCATAGTAGAGATTAAGACACAATCTTATAGATATAAAATCATAATCTTGAGTTAGAGTCTAAGAAAGCGTACCGTTAAATTCCATGGATTCAGTGGCGACAACAAATATCGATTAAGTCTGAGACCAACTTTCACGATCTACTAGCTACACGCTCTCATAGCCCGGACAACTTGACTGATGAGATGTCTACCGTTACCACGTATTCAAGAGGCAGAATACGCTAGGGTTTTCTAATAGCTAGGGAAATGGGGGTTGACCTCTATATAAAGAACCATCACAAGCCAATTGTTATTGGATTTCACTTATCCACACGCATAATATTTAATATTAGCCATTTTATTTATCCACCACTTGAGCCACGTCACTATCCTTTATCCACACACATAGTATTTAATATTAGTCATTTTATTTATCCACCACTTGAGCCACGTCACTATCCTTTCGGGCTATCAACAATTAACGTAAGTCTAAATTCCAACACTTTCGCCTAATACTCGCAAAATGTGTTATGGTGACTTTGCTAAATTTAGAAAATCATTGATATAAAGTTTACACTAGGAAACAAGACGGCCCTGTCACAATACTTTTTCTACTTTCATATAATTAAAGCCATTTGCTTTCTTAGTTGATCTCCGTTGTAAGTAAGGAAAATTAAAAAAGTGGATCCTACTTGGCCTGGTAACCAAATTGGCCAGGGCATGAAAATATAATGGTTCAACTCACTCAGATTTTGGCGGATTAATTTTAGGCATAAATCCAAGAAGAATACACAACTATCTATAGAATCCAAATTATTTACTCGCCAATATTCATTTTCTCCCATTTATAATGATATCTATTTGCCCACCAATACCCGTTTACTCATGTTCTTTCCTTTTTTTTTTCTTTCTAATTTCATTTATTTCTTCCCCAATTTTTTATTTTTATTTATGTTTTCTCCATAATCTGGTTTCATTCACTAGTTTTGCTCCTTTATTTCAACCAGTAATGAAAATTACAGAATTTCGTAAATTATATATTCTTTCCAGCTCTCAATCTCAACAAGCAATTTTATTAAAACTAGATCTAGGAAAAAAATAAAATAAGAACAAAGACCTTCAAAGAAAGTGCTCAAATCTTATAACAGCTAGGCCACAAAGTAATGAAAGATTAGTTTGAGAAAGATTCTTTGGATATCCAATTAAATAAATGTGTAAGGGATAAGGGAAAACATATATGGGTAGTCGAGTAATGCTTTTAGTTTAAATGTGTATAAATTATAGTAACAAAGTTTAAGATGGGTAAGTACGAGTAAAATGTTTTAGTTTTTATTGGTTGTTACTAGTTAGCATAGTTTCCCCAAGTTAAACCATCTATAAGTTTGGACCAATTTGGGCTGCAAAAACGTAGCTCAAATTGGCCCAAAAGAAATTAGAGAGCAGAACACAGAACATCAAATGTAGCACAACTTTCCTACTTTATAATTTCCCTTTTCGAGAAAAAGATTTGCCTATATTGACACAGGTTATTGCTATACTACTAGGCAAAATTTGGAAAATAAACAAAACCAGAGCTCAGTTTTTGGATTTGTATGCATCATTCAAAACATTCTACTAAGATGAAAGATCGAACATATATAAGATCATCAATCTGCTTTCTACCAAATGCAAATTAATTTATTTTATCATCTCCAATGATCACCATTTCTTATAAATCCTTTGATACATTTTCATAAAAAGACAAAAATAGTGTTTTATATAGTATTTTTGCTTGTTTATTCCATGGAAAGAAGGCGGTACATACAGAAGCGGACCTATGTATAACATTGATGAGTTATCGGATCCTGTAAATTTCGGCAGAAATCTTGTATATGTATATACGTATACCTTGAAAATGGATAATTTAAATAACTTGGCATTCTGAACACTAAAAGCATTTAGAGGCTACTAGTTGAACAGAATATTAGTGCCCCGTTGCGTTAAAATCTTGGATCCGCCTCTGGATATATATATGAAAGGGGTAAGTAGTTTATGGAGTCACTTGAATAATTACTTTCCCAACATTAGAACTTGAAAATAGAGATGTTAAACTTTCCAAAAAGCTCTCAATTCCATCGTTGATTTTGTGCTTGGATTTTACTTTGCCCTCTTTCAAGTAAACTTCCATCTCCTTTCTGAAATCTTCAAAATAATTAACGTAGGAACCAACCATAAAACCTTGCATTGTAACTTCTTTACCCACAACATTCAATAGGTTCCGAACTCCTCCTCTCTCTGTCCAAACCTACAAAACGTTATTTATTATACTGTAAGTATATATAAGTTTAAAAAAAAAAAATTGTCTTTTATAATTTGAAAAGAAAAAGTTTAACGTACCTTGTTGTACTCGGATATCATCCCACAAAGTGAAATACGAGCTCCTTGGTTAACATGATTAAGAACAGCCTCAAGCATTTTACCACCAACGTTGTCGAAATAGAAATCAATCCCATCTGGAAAATACCTGAAAATTGGAATAATTAATAATTTGTGAAAATACAGAGTAATCAAAAGGAAAGTGCAAAAAGGGTTTTTTTTTATGTACTACTATTTTTTTATTTAAAAAGCCAATAGAGAAAAATTTACAAAATACACGGTAATTTCGGCTTCAAAAAAAAAAAAGAAATTACTTATTTAATGCAGCTTCATAATCTGTCTCTACACGGTAATTAAATGCATCATCATACCCACATTCTTCTTTAAGCAGCTTCACCTACGAAGGAAATTTACCATATTTAATATAAGTTGCAAATTACCAAAAAGAAAAGAATAAATATAACCTGTGGTTAAAACACCAATAATATATGAGTTTAAGTTATACGTCGTCAACTTAAAATTTTTTACTTGTGATGTATCCAAAAACTTTAACAAGGAAATTCAGAAAACATTATATTAATCTTTTTTTTCATCTAAAGAGGATTCAACAAGTTTATATATATATACCGTAAAATTTTCTAGTAAAGGGGATTCAATTGAAATCCCATTTACCATACGTAGCTCTGCCACTACCTTTACCTTTTGTAGTTGGTAATTAACTTGTTTTATTTCAAGATTACAAATCTTATATTTTAAAGAGGCATAATAGTAGATAAATTTTAGATGAGCTGATGATGTAAAAAAAAATTTACATTGCAAATGACTAATTAAATAAACTCATACGAATATATACCTTTTCGTCTGAACCTACACTTCCAACAACTCGGCAACCTTTAAATTTGGCAAGTTGACCGGCAATAATTCCAACTCCCCCAGCTGCAGCCGATATGTACACATTTGATCCTTCTTTAACTTTGCCTATCTTTTCGATGCCAACCCATGCAGTTAAACCAGGCACTCCTAAATATATAACATGGTAATTATAAACAAATTAATTAATTACTTGAAATAAAAACTTTGGCTTTAGTAGATATCTGATATCACGAAAATGAAGATGATAGACTCTGGAATGAGCTTTGATTCAGTAGCTTTGCATAATTTGAATACATGAAAAAGAAGTAATGGACATAAAATTGAAGAATAGTAGAAGCGAAAAGACATAAAGGTGAAAAATAGTAGCAACGAGAAGACATAAAGGCGTAGATTTAAAAAAGGAGTGAGATGAATTATAGGATAACAAGGTGAGGTATTTACCCAAGCAACTAAGATAATCCGGCAACGTAATTCCAATGGTTGGATTAATTTTCTGAAGCCAATTAATTGGCATAACACAAAATTCAGCGACAGGAAACATATAAGTAGTTACTATATCTCCCTCTGAAAAATTGGTATTTTTGGAACGAATCACCTTCCCTATTGCGTTTGCTCTTATCACCTGCAATTATTCTATTCTAATTAGTTTCAGCCTATTAGTATTAGAGGAGTAATAAATAAATGCAAAAAGGAATTCAGAACACAGTTATTTCAGAACGTTGAAAGGTAGTAGTTGGTTGAATGCCAAATATAATTAACTCGTTTTGGCAAATTGAATTTCTTGAAAAAATAAGAAGTCATTAATTTATTACTAAGTCATTATTTTTCAAATCTCCCTTATTGTTTCAATTAGTGTAGTATTTTTTCAAGAAACGTTTATGATTAAGGCAATTAAATATATATCTTAAGGGGTACGTATGAAACAACCCTTAAAATAGTTTTTGCTAAATTTTGTGCTCGCGAGAACAGAGAAATTCAATATATATATATATATATATATATATGCAAAGATGTATCCAGGATTTTGGTAAGATGAGTATACTATTATGAAAAGGTGAACCAAAGATTATACTTGACGGATTCAACTTTTAGGTTCATACCATCGACCCTACATCCTCCACTTCTGCTAATTTTAGTATTGACATCCGATTTAATTATACAAAATTTAACGATGATGACAGAAGGAGAACATGTATTTCAATGTGAAACTTAAGGAATTTTAAAGAATAAACTAAACAAAGAAAGAAAAAAAATATTTAATTAAAACGCAAGAGGAGCACAAAACACGAACCCCACGAATTTACCCAATTCTAGAAAAAGAAAGGAAAAAATAATAAGACAAACATGTGATTTGATCCTCTGAGCTCAATTCCAGAAAAAGAAATGAAAGAACTATAAAAATAGACATGAGATTTGAAATCAAATTTATTTGTAAAGGTGCACCCAATAATCATAGAATTATAGGACTCTTTGAGCTTGAGTTCACTTACCTATAATAAATACTAAGGTATTAACAATGTAATAAATATTTATGTAAGATCACTTTTAAGCAATCACTAAACCTGATTAATTGGAAATTGAGGAAGAGAGAGCCCATCACCAAGGCCACTAAATTGAGTGCGTAAATACGGATCAATCGAAATATAGAGAATTTTGATTGCAACATTTCCATCTGGGATTGAGTTATCTGTTAGAGAAAAATTTACAGTGCGTAGCTTAAGATGATTAGAATTCGGAAGCCCATTTGGTGCATAACCAGCAATGTACCACTCTCTGTTCTCCACCGCCACCGTCTCCGCTGCCGCACCGCCGCCTGCCATGAATATTTTCTGTATATATATATATATATATATATATTTTGTGTGTGTGCGTGTTTAGGAGAGATTTCAGAATAAATAGGCGCTGAGGCAGTAATATAGCAGGTATGTTACACCTACAACGTAAATGAAAACCGAGCTTTTCATGCTAGAAGCAAGTTAAACTAAATTTGAAATACAAGTGAAAGAAATGTTGATTACCTTTTTTGTCTTAAATTAAGTTGAGTGTAGTAGGTAGTAAGATGTTTGCTATCATGCTATATATATATATATATATATATATATATATATATATATATATATATATATATATATATATATATATATATATATATGGATTCTATTCACTTTTAACCCGCGCCAAAAACTATTTATATTTGATAGCCAAAATAGTGTATGAAACTATATAACATACAAAATATATATATATACAAAAAATATTTATTTTTTTGGCAATTATTTGAGAACGGCTGTACAATGTCATTTTCCCTATTTTTTATACATAGTATACATATCTATGTAAGAATTTTTAAGATTAGTAAATATTAAATTTTGAACTCAAAATTTTAAAAGTGCAATAAATTCAATGCTAAAGTATTAAAAGCTAAACTCATTAAATTTAAATCCTAAATTCATCTATATTTGTGTTTCCTTGAAATGAGCAATTTACTTTCGGTCAATAATAGGCATACTATTTCTTTCTAAGGAACAATTTATCATAAGTTCATTTAGTAAATCGATTGATGAACATTTAAACTAATTCTGAAATAGAAATGTTTCAAGCTAAAGCAACTTAAAATCCTAGAAATCCACCACAAGAAGGAATGAAGGACCCCTTCGATCGATATGGTCAACATTTAACCTACTCTTGCTGGTAATTCGTATTGATCTAACATTATTAATAAGAAAAGAAAAAAAAGTTATCGGTCGAGCTCGTTCAAGACGCAGCGAGGTCAATAGCCGAGGTTCCGACATGAGTCGTGGTCAAGACATCGACGGAGATCGTAGTTAAGACGTCAACAAGGGTCGAGATTGGGATTGACTTCCGGTGATAAGACTTGTAAAAGCTAATGTGCCAGAATACGATACTAAAAGGGGATATTCTAGTGAATATTCCCTACATTTATACTATTAGGGATTCCTAGAAAAATGGCCCCATACATGTAGAAAGAAGAGACAATGATAGGGGCATGTAATATTAATTCTGATAAGAATACTTTTGAGAAGAAAACCCTCTCCCTGATAAAAATACAAAGATTACCTTTTTACAAATATTCTTGTTGATATATTATTCCCCACCTTTTCATCAGATCCGGGAATTGTTTATGCGAAACTTGGATCTATCTGTCATTCGTCATTGTCAGGCAAAATATTCGTTTCACCTATCCATTATTGGGTGAATCATTCTCTTTATTTACTTAAATGCCACTTATTGACATTTATTATTAGTTATATCACCCTTAATGTTCTTGCTTTAAGAGTATTTTACATTTATTGTCACAAACCATATACAAAATTTGTCCCATCTACTATACGTTTTTGTGCTTAATACCTAGAGTTATTATCCTTAGTTAGATTTAATCCCGTACTACATAAATTTAATAGTTTAATCGGAGATTATATTTTTTGGTCAAACAATTTGGCGCCGTCTGTGGAGATCTTCTAACTAAGTCTTTTAGTTTCTTCTAGATCTACTACCGGCATTGGTTGCTGACGTAAAAATACATAAAAAGAAGAACCTTTTTTCTTTCTGCATGCACAGATCTAACATGGCAGGTAACAGAGAAGAAAGAACGAGAATAATGAGTGACCTCCCAACCAACCTCATGGACATCATCCACGAAAGCTCTGAAGTAGTGGACGAGGACACAATGCCCAATGCCTGCCCTAGGCGAGGCGGATCACCCCCTCCCCACTGCAGCATCATAAAATCCCTTGGCAAGATAGCCTCCACATCCGTGGGAGAGGAGACACTGCCAGCGATAAAGAAAATCCTTGAGGCCTGGCTGACTGATACACTGACCAACGTCCTCCATAAACCCATTCAGGACATAACCGCAGCAAATGCGAGAACCTGTGCTGAACCACCAGTGAATGAGCAACATGATCAACCTCCCCCCCACCCGCGACGACAGGTATCACTCACAATATTGTTAATAATGCAGGCGATGGCGCTCTCATAACCATTCTGAAAAGGATGGAGGAAATGGAAAATGAGAACAAAGCACTTCCGTACCAAATGAGAGAGCACCAAGAAAGGGTCGATAAAATAGCGGGCGCTCCTAAGTTATTGCCGAAGAGAGATGCCGGTCGGTTCGTCGAGCAACTGTACAGTGATAGTGCTGCCCCACATTCCATACTGAAGACTTTCAAAATGCCACCTTACCTAAAAATATAGGACGGCATGACCGACTCCGAGGATCATGTGACTCACTACGTCACCGCTGTTAAAGGTAATGACCTCGCCAAAGAACAAGTATCCTCCATTCTGTTAAAGAAATTTTGGCGAAACTCTCAGGGAAGGGCACTAACCTGGTACTCGCAACTACCAACTCGTTCCATCGAAACCTTTGAGGAAATGGCCGATAAGTTCGTGATGGCCCATGTCGGGGCCAAGAAGGCCGAGGTAAGAGTGAATGATATCTTTGCTATCAAACAGTCCCCGAGTGAAAATGATTTTGCCCAATGTATCAGAAGGAATGGCGGTAGCCACTTTTCAAAACAGGCTCAATAGAAATAGTTCAAGAGCGACGAGAAAATTATTAAGCCGGATTATGAAATACCCCCCAATAATTTGGGATGAAATACATAATGCATACTGTGCCGAAGTACGAGCAGACGAAGACGGCCTCAATGAGCCGACTCATCGACTGACCTCAGTACAAGAAGAATCCAGAAAAGATCGGAGAAGCGATATCAGAAGAGATCCGGCCAGAACTACCGCTGTATCCTCACCTCGCCATGAAGAAGGCCCACCCCGCTCAAGAACAGGGACTCACCAGAATGAAAGAGGTATGCCCCTTTATTATCCGCTCACAATTTTTGCGTGTTACCTACAGAGATCGTCTACGCCTTGAAGAAGCTCGGACCAAAGGTAAAGTGGCCGCAAAAAATGAGGTCAGACCCGAATACCAGAAAATCAGACGCCTTCTGTGAGTTCCATCAAGAGCGAGGACACAAAACCGAAGATTGCATCGCCCTAAGACAGGAGGTCATAAACATGCTGCGACAGGGACACCTCAAAGAATTACTGAGCGATCGGGGAAGAACCAACTTTACCAGGGGACGCGAACAACATCAAGGGCTGCCGAACCTGCCCTCGCCAGCCCGCACCATCCACATGATCATCGGCGGGGGAGACGACGCTTCCATCAACATCGTGAAGTTCACTACGACCCACAATCTCAAACGGTTGATCACCCACGAACGGTATGATAAACTCGAAGAAAGTATCATCTTTGATAAGTTAGATACCAACGATTTAACATTCCCTCACTATGGCACTCTTATTATTACTTTACAAATTTTGGATACCGATGTAAGACGGATTATGGTAGACGACAGGAGTGGTACGTGTATTATCCACCCCTGAGTACTCACATAAATGAAACTCGAGGACAAGATAGTACCATGCTGCATCACACTAACAAGATTTAACAATGCAGTTAAACGAATATTTGGCGAGATCACACTCCCCGTCGTAGTGGTTGGCGTCACTCTGGAGACCACAATCCACATCATAAACTAGGAAACGACATACAATGCCATAATAGGGCGACCGTGGATACACACCATGAGGGCCATATCCTCCAACTTGCACCAAGTCATCAAATTCCCAACTCTATGGGGCATATTCAACATAAGCGGGGAACAACGCACATCCCAAGAGTGCTACCCCATCGCCCTAGACTGCAAGACCACCCAACAAATGAGAGACAAAGAGAAGGAAGCATAGAAATCAACATGGTCGAGTTCGGTAGAAGGCGACATAAAGGACGTCATCAGATACCCCGATGTGGCCGAGGCCGCAGGATCGACCATAGAGGACCTCGACCCCGTTCAGCTAGACGTCAACGGCCATAACAAGAAAGCTTACATCGGCTGCAAACTCCAAGAATCGGGTAAGTTTTGCAAATTTCTAATTGCTAACGCGGACTTGTTTGCTTTTAGCCATGCAAATATGCCAGGTATCCCAAAGGAGATTGCCACACACAGATTGAATGTCGATCCACTCTACCCCCGGTAAGGCAGGTTTGATGTAAGTTCAATTTCACAATCAATGACGCAGTGTGCAAAGAAATGGAAAAATTATTGGAAAATGGCTCAGTTAGAGAGTCGAAGTAGCCCCAATGGGTCGCCAACATGGTCATGGTGAAAAAGAAAAACAACAAGTGGCGGATGTGCGTAGATTTCACCAACCTGAACAAAGCCTGCCCCAAGGACTCGTTTCCACTACCTTATATCGACCAACTCATCGATGCGACAGCTGGGCATAAGTTTATGAGTTTCTCTGATGCCTACTCGGGCTACAACCAGATCTTTATGGAGGAAGAGGACCAGGAAAAGAACACCTTCATTGTGAGCACCTAATTTTTTACCGTGCTTGAATATTTCCCGCTCCCATCTTCCCAGGCGTGTCCCCACTCCACTTTCTTTTGTCCCCCATGCTTGTCCCCCATGCTTTGTCCCCCATGCTTATCCCCCATGCTTTGTCCTCCATACTTGTCCCCCACTCACAAACTCCATACCACTCTCCCTACCCAATAAAAACAACCCCTAATTCCTTTCTTCTGGAGGAGAACATCACAGAACCCTTCCCCATTTTGGAAAGGACCAGTCGCCACTCTTTGCTTTTTTTTTCCTGGAGGAGGAGACTTCATTCTCTTTTTTACAAAAAACAACTTCCATAGACATGTAAGACCAGCTCCTTCTTATGACAAAACTAACCACAAACCCCTCTAGAATCAGTTACAAGAAGCAGCCGAAACCATCCTTGAAACACC